CTCCTACCTCCGTCGTCGTCGTCCTCCACCGACTACTACTACGTAGGTGGGTGTGTAGTATGTGTGTGTGTGTGTGTGTGTGTGTGTGTGTGTGTGTGTGTGTGTGTGTGTGTGTGTATATATATATATATTGCATCATATTGAGTAATTTTAACTTTTGCCTATTACAACACTCAGTACAAAGAACTTACAAAAAGAAACTAAGTGAAATCTCATTTTCTATGTAAAATGCGTAAGGGCCATTGGCAAAAAGTAGTAGGATTAATTAGAATATTGGTGGTACTTTTATTTAAATTTTTTGTAACTCATATTATTAGGGATTCTATAAACAACAAAATGACTGACCCACAAGCAATTTGGCATACAAGTTAATTACAAAAAATATGTTCAAAAAGCTAATGAGGCCATATGGATTATATTAGTAATTCCAGAGTTAACAAAGAGTATACAATATGGGAAAATGGGAATTAAGTGGACCCTCTCTGTTGTGAAACAGTGGTGCTTATTTTTCATTTATATGGACACCTTATAACACTTATAGGGTAGCCACCACTCTGGAAAATCCATTCAGCAGTTTTTAGAGACCTGATGATGATGTAACCCTTGTTTTTCTTAGGAAAAGTGAGCCTAATAATTTGTTTGTTTGTAGTTAGGCACAAAGCTATACAATGGGCTATCTATATTCTGACCACCACAGGTATTGAAACCCAGTTTCTAGCATTACAAGTCTGCAGACATACTGCTGTGCCACTGGGGGCAAGCCTAATAGTAGGATTGGTGCAAGATGAAATATTATATTTTTAGGTACATGCTCATATGTGATTTCACTTAGAAAACATTTTACTTTGAAAAATCATCAACATTATTCAAACCTGCCATGCCATTTTTGTTTCTTTCATTTATTTTTGGTATAAAATGCCTTCAAATTTTATGTAAGGCAACATTTTCCAAAAAAAACAATCATTGAAATAATAAAAGTATCATGACATCCAGCAGGCAACTGGTGAGTTCAAATGTATGTTCAAGAAGTCTTCTATTTCTTTTTAACACAAATGGGGACATCAGGCATAATACTAAAGCATATCTACTGAAGATCTTGAAGAAAAAAACAAAGGTTAAGGAGGAGGAAACTACCAGCTAGAACAAAACCAATTGCTACTGTGGATCCAATGCATGCAATTGACACATGGTAACTTTTTGCCAAGTAAAACATTTGATGATTTACAAAAAAAGGTACAGAAGCAATCTGACATCCAATATCTCCCCTAACACAGGCAGTTTTAATTTCTGCTGCAACTGGTTCAACCGCTAACCAAATTTAAAATCACATAAAAAGAGAAAGAAATTGGAAGCCAAAACAATCAAGCTCTACCATGTCCAGGGTCATTTAACTGTGCTGGCATTTAGAGTTTGCTAGTGCCAGTTCAAACAAAGAATCATTGCTATGCTTACTCTGTAATATCTAGTCAGAAAGGAGGACATGCTACAACAAGTTGTCCCTATCTGGAAGACTTAAGGATGAAAACAAGAGCTTCATAATAATGTCTTAGAACTTAGATATAGTAAGCCAGCCCTAGTCATCACACAAAGAGGCAGACAACAGAATGATGCTACATGCTGTATTGTGCACAGATACTGAAGTGTTTTTTTACAAGCTTTCATTTACTACAATACTGACATCATCATTTCAAACACAGACTTTACTGCTTTATTCTTTAATTATTATTTCTCTATCCACATCAAAAGTACAACCACATGGAAGATTGAGTTTGAGCTATATCTTACGAAGAAATGTTCAAATTGCAAATTTTTTTCAAATCTGGTAATAAAGGATGGAAAAGATTGTTCACTGTGTTAAAAACATTCACACACATCTGTTCATGGTCATCCATAGAAATTTTCTCAGTTGTGTGAAATTGTGAATTGAATAAAACAATTCATATACATATGCTGAATGAATAAAGAAAGAATTACGTTCCTCATTTTCTGCATGCAAATCACACTGACATTCAGCTACTGGTTAATTGCTATTGTAGTATGATCCCAGGGATAAAAGAACTATGGATAAAGTCAGAGCCAAATGTCTTTATACAATTTCACATATCCTCACCTTCAGTTGAATGACAAAAATATCTCTCATTTCCATTTTTCCCATGTGCTTTTAGGCAAGAATGACACCAGTTTAATTTATAGTCTTGGAAAGAAAACAAATTTGGAATGTGTTCAGGTTAATGAATAACATGCCCTTCTCTACATATGGTGAAATTTCAAATTATAAGCAGTCTGATATCTTAGATGAGGTTGTGAAATCTAATGAGAAGGTATTGTTGAAAGCTTTTAGAAGCACTAAAAATTCCATGTTGGCCAGCTTCCATATCAAGAAATTTCTTGGAGGTGGTTAATTTTTTGACCTGACACCTAGTGAAGATGCTTTTCAAGAGCACTATCAGCCTGAGAGGCCATATCATCTTGCATTGATCAGCTTTCATTATTCCCTTTCCTATAGGTTTGGGTGGGCATCCAACTCTCAGATGGGCTCTTGAACCTTTACAAATGACAAGGAAGCCATTCTGAAACAATCTTGGGATGACAGTGAGCTGTAACTGTCAGAAACACTGTGCAGGAATTTTACCTGCAGCAAACACAATAACCATTGTTATGGTGTAATTGTCAGGGCATGGTTGGAACCTGGTCCTGGGCAATATATTTCATAACTTATGACAGTGAGTCAATGAGGTCCTATCACTATCAGTAGGCATGAAATTAGTTCCACATACTATTTTCTTTCAATATGTGCTCTTTCTCTTTCACAATATTCAAAGAAATATTTATGTTATACTGACTGACTATGCTATTATCTTTTAATACAGCAAGATTTATTCAATTGCTTAAATTCTTTAATTGTATCATGGAGACTTGAAATGGTAGAAATTGTGCTTGCTTCAATGATTCAAAAGTTATATATATGCACTTTTCATCTTAGTTACAAGAAAGGTAATATAGAATGCTCTTAAAGTTTTAACCATCTGGTATCTCATATATTTTAAGAGTTATAGAAGAATATATGACTTTTTATTAGAGGAAAATGAAGATATTTCATGATGAACACTATACAAAAAAAAACTATAATCAAAGCAACCATATGATATAAAAATGTCTATTTATTACAATAAATTAAGTTTTAAAAACAGTCTCATATTATAATGCATACCAGAACATAATTTTACACCTACTATTCTAATTATTGTAGAACTCATAATTTTGTCTAGAAAAGACTAGGATTCTTCCTAAAAATGATGGCCATCCTAGAAATTTCAGGGAGGGCCCATTTAAATGAGAAATAGGCACCATCATTTTACATTAGAGGGTGTCCAATGAACTCCCAAAATGGGACCTTGGCCCAAACAGGCAGTAGTTTGTTTTCATAAATCTCTAAAGAATAAATTACATACAAAAATTTTACACACACAAACACACATATAATGGCTTACATCTGCATGTTGCATTTTCTTAAAGCATTCAGCAAAATATTTCAGATACTTTGAATAATTGTTAAATATTTCAGTCATTCCCAGAATTTTCATTCAACCTAATATGAACTTTGGTTTTTTTTCTTATTATTAATGTTTTACAGAATAGTTTGCAAACAAAAATAAAAAAATAGGTAAAAGAAATGTACCTCTCTAGCAAGACAAAAGTTTTGTTTTGATGCAACTTGTACTAACTCAACATAATAATTTTCACCATCAAGTACAAGTCATAACTATGGGTTCCATCATAGTACCATTTTCTTTCTCCTCCTGAGATTATTAAAGTACCATTCTTTAAATACACTATATTTTAAGTGTTCAATTTGGATCAGCCTCAGCGACAATTTTTTTTGTGTTATACAGTCATAAAAAAAAAATAAGCATGATCATTCATGGACTTTAATCATCACCTTAAAAGCTTTCTCTTTTGTTCTTTACACAATATTTCATATATCAGACAATCTGCTCCAGAATATTATTCTGGATAATGGCCATAAACCAATTCTGTTTACTAAAAAATATAAAATTTCTGATATTGAGCAAATTTCAGTTCATCATTACCACCAAAGAAAAACACTGCCCAAAACATTATGAATAAGCAAGTAAGATGAAATAGTATTTATTATTATTATTTTCAGTGGAACTTTCACTGATTCTATCCATGTTAATACCTTGTTTCCTTCAGTGTACTTTTCTTGTCATACCTTGAAGCACACAAACTGAGAATCAAGGAACTCATACTGACCATAAATAATCCAAACTCTGAATGAACGTTCTAGCTTTAACAACTGTAATTCATTACAAATGTTCATGTTTTTCATCAATTTCTCCTAAAAATGATAATTACTGGAAAAGTACAGAACAAGCTTCCATTTTAGATTTTTTTTTTTCCTGGACTTAAGCATAAAACTTTCACCTCCTACACATGTTATCATCTAACCCAATAAGTGCTTTCTGCAAAAAAATTATAGGCACTTCTTCCTCTGTATTTCAGCTACTTTGTTTTTTACTTTTCTTTTACCAGAGGAAGAAACTAGATTTCTCTTAAACTAGGACCCTTTCTTCAAAAATAGTAATTTTACAAGTTATTGTTACTTCATTAATAAGTAAAAAGGAAATGAGATTAAAAACATCTTCATTTAATGACTGAAGAACAATTTAAGTTGGGACAAGTATGGAAATACGTTTCTTATTTTACAATATATTCTCTCTTAGCATAACAAGTGAATACAACAAATGAATTTCTTACCTGTGGAGATGATACTTGAATCATCAACTTCAACATGAAATCCTTCGCACAATTTCGTACCTAAGATGAAATGCCAACCAACTTAACTACAAGTGTTCAATGTACCACGCACAAAAATCATATTTAATAATTTATAGACCATCAAACCAAACAAATAAATGTTTTAATGCCAGAACCATTTTGGGTATTAAAATATTTTCTATGCATTTACTATTTTTGTAATATAACACATTTTCTAATCCCAAATTCTAGAATCTGCTAAATTTAAGTGTCTATTGCACTTCTAAAATGAATTCAATGATTTAAAAATGTTTTTGAGTATTTAGAATATTCATATATTTAATTAAAATTAATCCACTATTTGAACGTATTTAAAATGCTGTTCTGCCTTAGAAACTTCTAATAAAAGTGTTTTATCTACTAATAGCTATGTAAAACAGGAAGTAATTTTAAATTTCTTTCTTTGTTGTCCCTATACAGACTTCCAGTTAGAAGAACACAAATAGCATTTGAACTGCTTTGTTGCAGACTGATGCCGAGTTGGTCCTTAGCTCAACACAAGAGTAAATCAAACCAAATGGGCCTCAAGAAACAGTTTAAGTAGAGACTTATAGTACTCAATTAAAAAAGTAAGTTATAAATAAAGATTTCATATTTATTAAAAGCTTTTTTGTGATTTTCTATCATATTTTCTACCCAGAAACACTCTGCTAATTTAGCATTATAAAACATATAATTTACTATCTTTTATGATTGCTTTAAATATTTTTGACACTATGAAATTAGGAGTTGAAACCCAGAAAGTCATGATAAGCTCGAGTTCTGAACAAAGGTTATACTGGTACAAATCCACAAAAGTTAACTGAAATTCTAATAATGATGAAAAAGTATGATATACTTTAAACTTTTAAGAGGTTAAATATTTACAAAGTCTTATTAAAAGTTCCACAGTATACATTTCATAAGTAAGGTCTTAATTATTTAACAAAATAATGTTCCAAAATTACATATACCAGTGCTAGCAGAACAAAGTATCATGAAAACATGTACGTCGGTCTTGACCTGCAGTCGAAATACATGTATGTATTACTAATGTGGTATTCCAACTCAACAAATGTACTATAAAATAAATTCTGTCTGAAATTAATTACAAACTACATCACTATAACTATAAACAAGTAAAATCACAAAACCTGTGCATCAAAATAATAGCAGCCTTATTAATATTAATGATTATTAGTGATGAGCAATGCTTTCTTGTTATAAAACAATTATCTTGGAAACAAAAGACTTCACATTTCAGAAATTCAGGATAGTAAGCCTACATTATTTTACAAAAAACTGATAATATGTAAACCTATATTGTTAAAATGTATTTTCTCTTTTATCTATATTTTTTATTTTGTTGTTTTGCTACCATTGCATCCTTCTTTCTACCCTTTAATGTAATGTAATATTTTCTAATATAATCCAAAACCCTCTGCAGACAATTCCCTCCATCCACATGGAGAACATCTTTTAAGGATTCCTTAAAATAATCTTCAAGCTTAAATATGTTTGTTTCTTTAGTGAAAAGCAAAAATTGAACAACATTTAATGGATGCTTATACTGTACTCAACCTGCAATGGACTGGCATCCCATCCTGGGAGGGGAAACGAGTCACTATTCTCATGCACTTGAGCCATTGGAACTGGATTTAAAAGCACTGGCCTTGTGTGCCTTGTATGGCACAGTAAGGACTTAACTATTAACTATGCTACATTCACATAGCCACACATAAATGAACAGAAAAGCCTCAATATAGCCTGAAACACACCCAAAAGTTTCAATCTTAGTTTCATATGAATTAATGCTTTTTGATTTCGTTGTTTTACTTTATTTTTAAAAACAAAATTTATAATACTCAATTAGACTAACTCTATTCAAAATTAGACAAAATAAGTCATTTCTGAAATATTAATATCTGTTTCAGTCTTTAAAGTGGAATATTAACCCTTATTATTACTAATACACTATTGGAATATGGTAACTGTGTTAATGTCTCAAGCAGTGGCAGATTTTCATCAATAAATACATAATTGTGTGTCATCATTAAGGCTACTATTTACAGGAAATTTCTGAAATTATTGCAGTTTTCTTTCTGAATGACACTACATTTATCTTGCAACTAAATGTTATTATTAAATCTTTATGTTTATTTCAAATGCTGATGCATCTAATTGCCAAATTGCTCTTTTCAGAAAACTCGTATCGTGATCAGTTATCACCTCATCTTCCAGATTTGTTTATATCTATTACTTTAGATCTTGCCAAAAAACATAATACACACATGTAGAATTTTTAAAGTATTTTTTGCACAACTTATACAATCATCTATCAAAGTTGAAGACATTTTTTTTTTTCGCATTCAGAAATTTAAAGAAAAATCTATAGAAAGTGCATGGGGGGGGGGGCTACAGTTACAATAAGACAACCCTTTTTCTCCAAAAATTTATTAACAGAATATACAGTAAAATGCAGGCCTCGACAGACCCAGGACACCAGATCACTATGGTGACTAAAGATTTCATCATGGCCCCTAGTATTTTCTCCCATTTTATTTGTGCATATGGATGTGCTAAATAGAACTCTAATCGAGATCAGTCCTGGACTCTTGGAATTCTCAAACTATTTTTGCATTCTTTGGGTCCAAAATCAAACTTTGTTTCTAGGATTTTAATGGCAGATTCAGCACTTCTTCATGTTTTTTCATGAATAAAGAGCTGTGGTTTCACAAAATGTTACTAATTTTGCACCATTTTGTTTTCCTTCTTTCTTTCAGTTCAACCAAACAGTGCATGTGTTTAGACTCAGATAGGACCAAAGGCAGTTAGTTCAGGCAATATTACCAAGTGGTTGTTGATATCATGTGATCGTTAGCATGCACTTGTTGCTGTGAAAGTAAATAAATATGTCCCCCATTTCCCTGTATAGAAAGTAGTGAAGTTAGGTTAGGCACACTAAATGGCCTTTGCTTACCATTGTGCAGTGTTGTAGTGATGAGTAGATTAGACCTATTCTGAAATAACCTGCTTGGCCTATTGATATCACAGTGATTATTTTAATTTACTTTTATTCATTGCAAGTTATAGTTATTTAGTCTATTATTTTTATAATTGCCTTTTGAAATCTGCCTCCCACAGCCAGTGGCCAACTTATACAGTTCTGCTTAGTATATTTTGTTATCAGTTAATACCCACTGTTATTAATGTAGCCCTTGATCATGAAATGTTCATTAATGACCAGACTAACAAATTTCTTTGTCATTCTGTTGAAAAAGAAAGATACTGGGCCTTCTACTTCATCTGAGAAAAATTTGATGAGGAAGAAACGATAGAAGTAGCTGCAGAAGTAATCCATCCATTAGCAAAATCCATAATGCAAAGAGAGAAAAGTTTCAATAAAAATGGTTGAATGAACTGAAGTGGCTTAAATTTAATCATAACACGGGTGATGCTGACTGTGAGATATGTGTATCTTTCCCTAGTGTATCAGATTTCAGTTCAAAAGTCATAAAAGTTTTTACTTGGCCCTTCAAACTGGAAACTATCACAAACATGAAAAATCATTTCAGCATCAGAAATGCATTGCATCATATAAGCATGAAAATCTCCAGAATTTACCCCTTTAACAGTATGTGTGAAGAAAATTAAAAAAAATTTCAATCACAAGAAGACTGTTCTTAATATAACCTACTACAATGCTAAAAATTACTAGCCATTTTCTTATATTGATGGTTTGTTAATGACCATAGATAAACTGGGGCTGAAGTTAGAAAATAATACAACAATGGCAGAAGTTTCAAGGAATTTGTGTCACATATTGTACATGTATTGAGGAAAGACCCATTTTGTGAGTTAAAAGATCAGATTTGTGTGAGTTTGTTGCTGGATGCATCCACCGATAAGCCCAGTGTTGAGGAACTAGTACTATATGCACAATACATCAAGAACAATGAGGTAAAAGAAGTGTTCTTGTCTGTCATCCCTCTTGAGAGTGTTCCTGCAGATGGATATTTGCAAGCTATTGAAAATAAATTGGATAAACATAATACTGCACATTAACTTCCTTCAAGTTAGCTAATTGGTATTGGAACTGATAGAGCAACTAGCATGATAGGTGTAGAAAATTGATTAGTACAGAAACTAAAAAAAATTTGATCATTTAATTAATGTGCATTGTATTGCACACAGGTTAAATTTAAGTGTGTTAAGTGCAGTAAAAAAATTTAAAAGCTACAGAGGATGTTGATGCAGTTCTCAGAAACCAATAAAAATTTTACCAGTCTTTGCAAAAGAGAACGTGCAATCACATCTAGTGGCAGAAGGTTTACAGAGCCAGATCCTAAAAGTTTCAGAACCTCCATACAGTAAACTGGCTGGCCAGTAAAGTTGGTGGTTTAGTTGCTTTAGTGAAGGACTGGAAATGTGTTGTAGACATCTTGAAGGTGTTGCTACAGAGAAACGAAGTGCTTTTGCTGTTACAAAGGGACTTTAGAAAAACTAAGGATTTTAAGTTTGTTCACATGGTATGTTTCCTTTTAGATTACCTTAGCAGAAATAAGAACTTGTCTCTCTTGCTTCAAAAGCCAAATCTCTTTTTATGTACTCTTACACTATATGTGCAAAATACTGAAGAACAAACCAGGTTACCATGAAAAAAATGTTATTAGTAATACTTTCCTGAATGGCATTTATAAAGAAGTCCAGCTACGTTGATTGAGCACAGATACAACTTCTTGCACCCTAGTTGAAAAAAACAACTTGGCGGAAGATGGAATGCAATACTTAAAGAAAAGATTTTTGAACAGTGATGCCAGTGTTGAAAGGTGTACCACAGTTTTTGACACTTTCACCGAGCAAAAAGAGGATTTGGAAAAGTTTGGGAAGGAAAGAATATCAACACTGGCTCAACATTTCGAGAAACAACAGTCATCTCCAAACTTGTGTGGTGAAACTTTTACACATCATCTTCTCAGTGGGTGATATGAATTCAAGGTTCTTGGGAAAGGAATGAAATTCAGTGAACTTTTGAATAAAGTTCTATCTAACAGTGAGAGGTTTACAAATTTAGGGAAATTGTTGTCTATTGTGTCAGTGTTGTCTTTTCTTCTGTTTGTTGTGAAAGAGGATTTAGGTTGATGAACCTCAGTAAAAACAAACTGAGATCATCAATGGTAGTAGAGAGTTTGAATGACTTCATGTTTATTAGCATGAATGGACCATCATTGAAATAATTTGATGCTTCACAAGCCTTAGATCATTGGTATTTCAGTTCTAAAACCTCTAGACATGTGGATGGCCACAAAAGGCCTTTTAAGAAATAGATGGACTTGAAAAGGATTTACAAAGAAAGTTGTTATTGGTGTTTTTATAAACTGCACATATTGAAGTGCAACTTCAAGATATGTTGTATAGTAAAGTTTAATAATGGACTCTTGTTTTTCAAGTGTAAAACTATATTATCATAATGTATCATAACCACACAACCAACTCAAAATATGTTCTTTAACTTTTCTATATCAGACCTGGCTCCTAGATCTGAAAATGTATGTCGAGGCCTGGTAAAACATTCATTCTAAGTTCAACTTAGTCATCACTGTTTGTTCAAATGGCTTTCAAGCAGGTCAAAAAATATAAAAACAACAACATTTATTAACTTTTTTATATCTAGATTAGCTACCCCACTTAAAAACAAAAAAATTATCAAGCAGTTACCGACCACAGCAATACCCTGCATTTTTTACAAGATAGTCAACATATTCACTTTCATTAGTTGTGGTTGACAATAATAAAATAACACATAAACAGCTCACCTGATCTTTATTGTCTCCCATTCGATCCACTGTTCCAGACAAAACTATTGATAAAAAAAAAAAATGGTAATCTTCTTAATTAAAACAAAAAACAATTGGAATCATGAGAGCATAGTAATAGTGTACCCTCATGCTGGACTTTAAATGTAAATTACTTTCTCCTACAAGTGTAGATCACTTATTTAGTTTTAATTCAATTATTTTTCATATCATATTTGTGCATGCTACTGATATTGAATTAAGTAAACAATAACAAATGTATTAAAGTAGCCAATGATGAAACAAAAGTCATACTGAAAGATTCTGTAACTATCACTGAATCCTACAAAATTTAGGCTTTGATGTGAATTGGTAAATAGTGTCACCAATTTTCATTTATGTACTTCAAGACTTGTTAAATTTAAATCTCCAGATTACCTGTAGAAATGTAAGGCCTGAAATCATCTTTCATTCTGTCAGCCAATAAACCAAGTATTTCTAGTCCATTCTGGGAAATCTACAAATAAAAATCAAATCACATATGATTGAAATATTTCATGCAACAATATTAAGTGAATAATAAAGATGTAAATACTGAAGAAAAATACTGCATCAAGACACCTCATACATGATAAAACTGCATCAAGACACCTTATACATGATAAATTACCCCCATATTTTTTTTCTAATTGTAGTCATTTTTTTATTCTCAGGCCAAAGATTATGATAAGACATGCAGTTCCCTCTGTTACTTTCTTTCTAATATCCCCTATAGTTAATTGGCCGATAAAGAAATTGTAAATGTTCTCTAGTTCACTGTGATGCGTTCAAATATGAAATGCATTAAGAGTGTTCACAAATTATGCATTAGTCTGCAAAAGCAACACAACTTTTAAGCATGTATTTCTCTAAATTACTTAGCATAAATGCATTAATCTGTTTTGATAGTTTAGTTTTAAATGATCTAGAACTAAACATTAAATTTACTGTTGAAAAGTTCTATAAAACTATACATTTCTTGGATATATTGATTGAAATATCTGACATTGGCTCTTTAAAAAATTGATATTTTTATAGATTAAGCAATTCCCATGCTTATTCAGATTTTAGAATTAACCACCCTAGACACATTGAAAGAAATATTGCATATATGTTAGCAAAGAGAATTGTATGGATTGTTAACAATAAAGAAAAAATAAATATTAGATTAAATGAATTACAAATGTTTCATTAAATAGAAATTATCCAGAGGCCCTAATTGATAATTGTATATTTTGCACCAAATTATTACTATTTACTATTTATACATTACTATTTATACCCCAAGGTTAAAGTTAATATTATAAAGTGCAAGACTTTAACTGCTTCCTGTACATATGGAACTATAAGTGTATATTTTGCACCAAATTATTACTATTTACTATTTATACATTACTATTTATACCCCAAGGTTAAAGTTAATATTATAAAGTGCAAGACTTTAACTGCTTCCTGTACATATGGAACTATAAGTGTAAGAGGTTAAAATGCTAACTCTGTAACCTAGGTTATACTACCAATACTAATATCATTAGAAACACAAATGAAACTATTACGTTTAAAATCAAAACATCTTTCTCTTGCAGTTCTATCAACTGTATTTATGTGTTAAAATGTACAATATGTGGTGATAGTTATATTGGCCAAACTGAGAATTAAGAATTTAGAATAAACCAACGTAAGTTTCATGATAGAAATACAAGTTATATTCCATGAAGATGTTCAGAACATTTTTACAATTGGATCTTAGGTACCCACGATCTATTACAAGAGCATTTCTTTTCCTGTTTTCCATTTTGATATTATAATAACCAACAACTACAAAAAAATATTTTACAAAAGTTACTTAATAAAAAAAAATTGGCAGCACTTTAAATCTTATTTAAATAATTTGTAGATTTCTTCTGTTTTATTTACAAGTTTTAATTATTTATGTTTTATTGTTTTACAAGTTTGTACTGTTTCTAGAATTTATATATTATATATACATTATTTATATGAACTTTTAGAACATATTTATTGGGATGTATGTTTTTTTATGTATATTTATACACTTTGACTTTGTTAAAAATCTTGCATTTTATGTAATGTTTTTAATTAAGTTAGCCGAACAGCAATGTTAAAGCTGCAAGAGCAATACCAACCTATGGATTTCAAAAATATAAATAAAAAGATATGATATTTTGAACTTGATGGTGCTTTGAATATTTATTACACTTGGGATCATACCCTCATAACACACACACACACACACACACACACAAGCTGTTTCTGTTGACAGACAAACAGGATACTCCTTTAAAAAAATGTGATCATACATTTGACCACTTGTGCAGTCTGTCATGAAGCTAGCTACCAAGGATGGTTCTGCTATTACTGAGAGTAGTGGATTCTGTGATGATAGGCTTAGGACAAAACCCAGTCATGTGAAACACCTAAATTCTGAATATGAGACACACAAAAGCAACAATGGGTAACCTCATGATGAAGATAGGAAGGTGGAATATGAGTACTCTACACAGAACTGGAAGTTTGAACAAATTATGCCTGGAGTAGAGCTGGGCAATTACCTCACAATAATAGATTACTTACAAATATCAATTAGTGTGAGTAAAATAAGTGATTAATTGTAATTACAATTAAACCAATTAATGTAACAAAATTAATCAATATATCACAGTTAGTGTTTTTAAGTATTCCAACTAACCAGGTAATTGAAATGTTGCCATTATGATTTCTCATTATTATATTCAATCAATTCAAAGTTGTTCGGCTTAACTGATTAGTGCAAGATTCACAAAAATAATCAATTAATCAAAATTAACATTTATTATTATTTTCAATTATTCCAATTATCCAAGTCTCACGTGAGAATAACTGAATAGTTGAATATAATCAATTAACCCTACCAACTAGCCAGGAGATGAAAGATTGAAGTGTGATATCTAAGGGTTAAGTCAAATTAGGTGGACTGGTACGGGTACTCTTATGAATGAAGGCTGCGAATATATACACTCAGGAAGAGTTGGATATCAAAGAGGAGTAGGTCTGTTGGTGAAAAAGGAATTTAGAAACTGGATGAAAGGTTTCTGGTCTATCTTAAACATGGTAATGTTGGTCAAGTTTGGGGCAAAACCCTTAGATTTAGCCATCATCCACCTTCAAGCATCTTAATATTTTAGTAAAGAAGAAATTGAAAGTTTTATCAAGATCTTGAGGAAGCTACACAAGCAGTGAGGTCAAAAAATATCTGATGGTAATGGGTGACTTCAATGCAAAGGTTGGTGAAGACAGGAATGGCATACTATTTGGACCATATGGTCTTGAAGAACAGAACGAGAGAGAAGATAGATTAGCTCAGTTTTCTGAAGAGAAAGGCTTAGTGCAACAGCTTGGCATTTGTATACTTTGAGGTAACTACAGGATGATGAACAAATTGCAAGAAATCAGACCACATCTCAGTTAGAAATATGTTTTAGGAACTATTATAATAGTTATAACTTATTCAAAAGCAGAATGAGGCTATGTCGGAATCCAGTGATCAGAAACATAAAACCAAAAAATAATCAATGAGGCCTCATTCTAGGGAAAATAGGACTTAAAAATTTGGGAAATTAGACACAGCCAAGGACTTTGTGATAGATTAAAAGCCAATCTGAAATATTAATAAAAGAAGAACTTGCTAATATGGATGCTGAAAAACCTGTGGGTTAAGTTCAAAAAGGTGTTACAGGAAGTAGGAAAGAAAACATTAAGAAAAAAGGGTTTGGTAGAATAACAAGAATTTAAAAAACATGTGCAAAAGAAAATAAACTATCAAGAGGGAGCAGATATAAAGAAAAGAAAATAAGACATTGTACAGATAAGCAAAAGAAAAGTATCTGAACAACAAATGTGCAGAAACTGAAGTAACACAATGTGTGAAATGCAGCAAATTAAAGTAGATTAAGCAGCCATCATAATCTAGAAGAATTCATCCTGGAGTCAGGAAACAGCAGTTTAAATTTATGGAGACCTATTAAAAGCACTTGGCTTGCAGTTGGAAGAGGTAAATGACAAGAATGTGTGATGTCACTGACATTATATAATTCATGTGCAATGGTTAATGATAAGAGGTGACTAATCACAGATAGAAAAGGGATCATGGTTAAAAGGAATAGAATCTGTAATAACAGGTATGCTATTGATACAGTATTAAGTGTATCTGACAATGAAATACAATGGTTACTTGACTAAGGGTAAGGCTATCACCTCAGAATAAATGTTAGCAAAACAAAGATAATTATTATCTCATGATCTGAAGAAGCTCCCAAAATATTAGTCTAAGTTGAAGGTAAGACATTTGTGAGTGAATATTGGTAGTGGTGCCATGTGCAACAACAACAACAACAACAAAAAAAGAAAAGATCAAATGAATGATAGTGGTGACAAAAACTCAAATATCAGAATTCTTCAATCTCAAAAATTGCTCTGGAGAGATTTCAATCTGGAATTGAAGAAAAAACTATTAAAGTATTACGGATTTTGAGTCCTACACAATACAGCAGAAATGTGGATCATGTCTAGTAAAACAACAGTTGGTAACATGTGAAATGTAATGATATACACAAATGACAATGGTCAGCTACACAGATAAAAAAAAACTAATGAGTAAATATTAGAAAATACAAAAACAAAATGATAGCTGCTAGATACATGTAGAAAACATAAGATATGCTACTTCGGGAATATAATTACATCTGAGGAGAGATTGGCAGAGAATTTCCTGGACAAAACTGAAGGAAAAAAAAAAAAAGAGTGAGAAGCTTAAATTCATTGGTGAGGCAGCAAGGAATAGAGACAAATAGTTGTTAACCTACAGGATTTGAGTAAAAATCTCATGATTCATTAACTGATTAAACATTATAATCACAGAATAAATCATTTTGAAAAAAAAAGCATTTGCTACAATCAAAATGAATTGCATGTCTGCAAAAACAATTATCTGATAACCATAATTAGTTACCTATTGTTAAAATGTTGATCAAAACTGCATGCTTATAAAACAATGCAATTTCCCTCAAGACAACACTTTACAATATTGTATAAATAATAGAATGATGCACAAATAGATTAACATACACAAATATATGGCACCAGAAATTTTTAGTTTATTATATGATTTTTAACAATATTTCAAGATAAAACAAGAAATAACTATTTGATATTTGTGAATAGGCAACACTAAATTAAGAAACATTTCTTGGTTTATTTGTCTGGTCAGACAGATAGTGGCTTGGAATGACTTTCTCAAACCAGAATTTTACTTGTCTAACCAATTGAGCAACCATTAATTTTGTACCTTGAGTAGTAAATAGTTCTGTCTGTCTAATTCAAATAGATATAATGCTAGAAAATAATCATGTATGATGTAATCATTGCAGCCCCTGGAAAGCAGAAGGCTCATTCAAAAACATGAAATATCGGTTGAGAGTCATC